CAGTCATGGCTTAGTCACAGAAGCAATTAGGCAGAATAGACAGGACATATAAATTAAGCACAAACATACTTGATTACATGCTCATATTTCAGAACAGGTATAAAACGGACAAACAAATCGAACCTTAAACTAACTTAGGAGAGGATTCCTGTTATTCTAAATAACTTAGTCTTAAGTTAACAGTATTATCAAATTAACAGATAAAGGACAGAATCATGCTAGGAATTGAAACAGGCTAATCACACAAAGCATAGAGAAGGAAATTGCAAATGTTAGGGCATACCAGTTAAGAAGAAAGCAAGTAAAGGTGCAGTAATAGTTAAATTCCAGAGTAATTTGGCATTGGCTTTCAGCCGGCCAAACAATAGCTACTTAGTGCAGAAATCAGAACAGGAGCAAGAAAGAGAGCTTAATTTTTAGTAGTGAGAATAGGAGAGTTCAAGTCTTGTAATGTTGTCTAAAGGGAGTGAGGAAGGGGGTTTAAATAGCACCGAATGAAGTAAACAAATAAGGTAATGATCCAGTCCTACCCAAATAAGGTATAAAAATAACTTAACAATCAATTAAGGTCGGCATAGATCAATTAACAGGCATAAAATCAGGCTAGCGTCAGTTAATGGAATCAATCAGTAGTCAAATAAGGTAAGGAATAATTCCAGAATCAATTAGAAGTCGACTTTAATAATCAGAACATAAAATCAGGCCAGTAATCGCTACTGCTAAAGGAAAGACCAGGTAAATAGAATAAATAAACACCACGGCTAATTTCAAATCCTAATTTAGGTAAGTAAAATCAATTAGCAATTAATCGACAGAGTTAAAGGCAAAACAGGTAGAAACAATAAGAATGAACAAATAATCGGAACCCTAAGAAAATAGGCAGAAATACAAAAATAAATAAAATAAGTAAAATAAATAAGGAAACCCTAAAGGATACACAAAGACGAAAATGTTTAAAGTTAAAACATTTATTTTGCAAAAATCTGTTGAAATCAAAACCCTAGTTTTAGGGTAAATAAAACCGGTCAGGAATAATAATAGAAAAAGACTAGAAAATATAGAGACAGAAGTATTGAAATTTTAAAGGAGAAATACCAAAACGAACATAAGTCGATTCAGATCCGGGAAGATCTAAACAGATTCAACCAAAAAATAGCCAGGTTCATAAAAATACACAGAATTTGAACCAAATCTGGTTTGAACCAGAGATTTGAAACCCTAAGATACGAAAATAGTCGTACTCACAGGTATTGGGATGAACATAAATGGAAATAGCCGAGATGAGAGACTTTAAACCATATCTGGTTCGAGCCTCTTGAGATTCACTTGCCATTTGAGGCAAATGAATCAAGTAGCATCAAAATCGGGTAGCCAGTAGAGAAACAAAGCCAAATAAGGCAGGGAATCAAGAGAAGATCCCATGAATCAGAGGGAAAGTGTGACGGCGGGCTAGGGTTTGAGGGGGTAAGGAGAGTATCAGAAGACAGCGAGCTGGGGCAAAATGAATTAGGGTTTAGGTGTTTGGTTAATTAAAGGGGGCGGAGGATTGGGGGCCGTTGATCTTCTGAGATCAACAGCCAGGATTAGATTTTAGTAGTCGAGCGGGTTATTTAGACGGGTAGGGGTATAGGTAGTTGGGTTAGTGTATTGGGTATTGGGTTATTGGGTTATTGGGCTGGATAGGGTATTGGGCTGGGTAGGTTCGAAAACAAATTGAAAAAGGGGCTATGTTTTAAATACCCATTTAAATTACTAAAATAATTTATAAAAATAATTAATAAATGATAAAAATGTCATTTGTGCATGGAAATGATTTAAAGTAATTACTTAATTTAATAAAAATATAAAAAGTCATTTTCTGTATAGATAATATAATTATGTATATATAAACGGGCTATTATTGCAAAATGTGCAATTCTAGCCTTAAAAATGCAAATGTAATTATTAAAAATACAATTAAAATATTTAAGCATTATATGAGCATGAATGATAAATTTGGAGGATTAAATCATCATAAAAATGATATGAGGGGTAATTATTGGATATTTGTATAATAAAAAATGCAGAAATAAATTGATTTAAAGCCTTTAAAATTATAGAAAAATTATAGAAATACTTGGACATGTTTGTAAATCTAACAATAATGTATGTACACCACTTTGAAGATATATATGCATATTTAAAATATATGAGGAAAAAATTGGGTATCAACAGACATAGACACCTACTATGGGTCAAAAAATAAAATATAGAAATTCTAAATAAACATGGAATATGTGAACAATAACAATGACACGATAGCGAGCAGTGAATAAATGATTCTTTAACTGATCATAAATTCCAAAATCTTAAACCAACACCTACTAACTCCAAATCAATTTCTGTCATTAAATAAGTTATAACCTATCAAGCCATAAAATAATGTCAAGTTTAATCGGGCTCCGAGTATTATCACGCACGATTTACGCTGAGGTCGTACGGCCCGATCCAAAATAATGTGTGCACTGCCGAGGGCCGAACAGCATAAACCATAGATGCATCTATTATATTGCCGAGGCGAACGGCCCGCTCCCATGAGAGTTGAGAAGTTTACCTTGCTCGCGGAAGTACTTGCGACGCGAGTGGACATGGATTTCTCAGAGTTATTATGTATTCCTCAATTCTTCCCAAAATAAGAAATCTAAATTGGAAAATTTCAACTTTAAAATTCCTAGTCTCAGCTCTATTTGAGACGATTAATATGCATAATAAACATAACAGTACAATTAAAGCATGATGCGGATCTAAGATTACCAGGACATCTCATAGAATATAGCTACGCATGGACTCTCGTCGCCTAGTGCGTACGTAGATCCCCACACAAGTAATACACAACAAGATACACCTAAGGGGATGAGTTCCCTCTTACAAGGTTAGGCAAGAGACTTACCTCATTCTCGAGCTCACTTCCGGTCCACAAATCCGCTCTAAATTCTCAACTTGGTGCCAAACAACCCGAAACTAGCCAAATATTATATAAATTTATCAATATACACTCACAAGTTCATAATTTAACTAATAGAGTAATTACCCAACCCAAATTGGAAGATTCCTAAAATTCGCCCCCAGACCCACGTGCCCGATTCCAAAAAAATTTGAAGATAAATGTTATCCATAACCTCAAGAAATCAAATATATAATTTTTCACCCAATTCCATAATCATTTTCCTGGTAAATCCCAGTTTCATCAAAACCTAGTTTTTTCAACTAAACCCATAATTTTCACAATTTTACATGTTAAAATCTACACACAATCTATGTATTAAACTTAAATTAGGTAGGGATTACTTACTTTCAATAGCTAGGTGAAAACCCCTCTTCAAAGAGCTCCAAATCCGACCAAGGAAATGAAAAATGAGAGAAAATGGCCTAAATCCCGTTCAAAAAATATTTCTGCCCAGTGGTCCTTAATCGCGATCGCGGCCAAGCTCACGCGATCGCGAAGGATAACTAAAAGAACCCAGGAAAATGACACTACGCGATCGTGAGAGGGCACACGCGAACGCGGTGCACAGGGCCTCCTACTCGTCACGAACGCGTGACCCAACTCGCGAACGCGTAAGGCAACTGGGTTGCCCAGGCCCAGGCTTCTACGCGAACGCGACCAGTCAACCGCAAACGCGAAGGCCAATGGGTCCAAGCCTTCACGAACGAGGCCCTATATTCGCGAACGCAAAGTGCAAAAGCTCACAGTCCCCAAATCCTTCATCGCGAACGCGAGGGTCCTTCTGCATTCGCGAAGAAGGAAACTAGAACCAACACACCAGCTGTTTTGGACTTAGCTCCAGGCTTTCCGAAACGCACTCGAGCCCCCCGGGACCTCGTCCAACTACACCAACAAGTCCATAAACATAATACGGACTCGCTCGAACTCTTGAAACTTGTAAAATAACATCAAATATAAGAATCACACCCAAAATCAAATTATGAACTTCAAGTTTTCAACTTGCTCCGAACGCGCCGAATCATATTTAGACTACTCGGAATGTCACCAAATTTTGCGTGCAAGTCACAAATCACCATACAGAACTATTTCCAGGATCGAAATCCCAAATGGACCTCGATAACACCTTAAGTAACTAAGTAGTCCGATTTCAACCCGAACCCTTTCAAACCCGAACTAACCATCCCCCAAGTAATAAAATAGTAAAAGCACATACGGGGAGTGTTATTTAAGGGAACGGGGATCTAGAAAGCAAAACAACCGGTCGGATCGTTACATCACTGATGCATAAATATTTTGGCTTAGAGACCAACATCCTCCACTTTTACTTCTATTTCTTCCTTTTCGTTTTTAGTTGAGAAATTTAGAGAAAGATTCAAAATCATCTCTAAAATTTTCAATTTTCAACACCCAATTAATTAATTTTTTCAAAATTCAAATTTTGTTCTTTATTTTTTCTAACCAGCATTTTCCTATTTGAATTTGGTCATGATAGATTTGTTAGAAGGTAGTAGGGGAGAGGGGGGTGGGAGAGGGAGTAGGAGGAGAGACGAGAAAAGAAAGGGGGAGGGGAATCAGGCAGCAACAAAATGAAGGGGTGAAAGAAGAAAGGAGGGCGTGGGGTGGGAGAGTGTTTTCAGCTTTTCAACTTCTTTTTTGTTTTTCTTTTACATTTGCTTCTTTTCTGATTTTAATATTTTTTAATCAAAATTATTATATTCACGCGCTCCTGTATCGTGGTTTGCACGTAGTTGAGCCACATCATTTAAGTCGTTGCCACATGAACATAGTCAATGGTCAAAGGTTTTTATTAGCACACATTCCGTCAAGTTAAAGCATTTAAATGGAAAACTTGTAAGTTCATTTACCGGGTTGACAAATGGACACAAATTTAAGTGGCTCGGATGCCATTTTACCTTTGAAATATTATTAGAACAATTATTAAATCGAGCATGAATCGAACTCAATCCCTGCTACTACAAGTAACAGCAAAATGCACAATCAAACATAGGCGTGGTTAAATAAATGCTACTGTATTTAAGTATTGATAAACAGATTTATCCAATACTTGAATCAATGAAAAATAACATCTGATGAAATTATTCAAGTCAAGTGCGTCTAAATTGACTCAAACACCATACTAGAAGTAAAAGAATATTTGACAATATAATTAAGGTGGGCTTAAATTGACTCGGATAGTACCGTTAAAAGTAGTTCACTTTTGTTCACAGTTGGTATAACACAAAGTTTCACATATTACCCACTTTGCACCAAACTCGAGCCATTGTAGGGCCAGTGTTGTTTCCCTCATCCACACCCTCTCCAAGTGGCCGCGGCCGTTCCCCACTTGGATCCACCTGGTCCAGAATTCTTTTCACTATTCAGTAGCACTAGTAGTGCGATCGGATGTTACAATAATCTATCAGACATCTTTCCCTCATCTACTGTTCATGATATCAACCACTACACAAATAATTTAAAACAATAAAAGACTTGACTACAAGTAGTAACAAATTAACACCCCATTCCCCTTTTCTGTCGCCGCCACACACGCTCTCCTCACTCCTCAATCATCATTCATCATTTCACGCCTAATAAACAATTGGCTAAGTCTTTAACATGACCAATACGCATAATTCATCCTACCATTTGCTATCCATTCCCCCCAACCCCCACCCAAAACACCACCACCACCACCAAGGCCCAAACAACGTATAATTTGAACTGCGATAGACAAAATATTAACGCAAATCACCTTTACATATAACAACATCAAAACTGTTTGAGCTCAAAAATTTCTTAAAAAGTAAAAATTAAAATAAAGAGGTGATAGTTTTGAGAATATAACAATCCTAGGCTACCAGCTAGGAATAAAGACAATCTGGAGCGGCGCTTGTATTCTTACCAATGCACCCCCTCTTCCCCCAAACAAAAAAAAAATTACACTAGCATAGTTACTACTAATATTATCAGTAATAATATTGTAACTAAATATTACCAGTCCTCACCAGTAATCCTGTTCTGGGTCTTCGGGCTCGGGCTTCTTGTTTAAATCGGGCTTCTCCTGAAACCAACATGGCTTCAATTCAGACGGGCTTGCAGTCTCACAGTGCACTTTTTGTTCTCGATGGTCGTGGCCGTGGCCGTGGTCGTGATGAGTTGCAAGTGAGTTCTGTATCGCGTCAACTTGGGCACCAACTTCTATGGCCTTTTTACGAATTGAGGCAGCAGATAAATCATTAAGCCCACCATCACCACCCAACAACTCAGGAAAATTCAACCGGGCCGAAGGCCCGCGTAAATAATACACCGCCGTATCGTAAGCCCGCGCCGCCGCCACCGGCGTTGAATACGAGCCCAACCAAATTCGCGAACGCTTATTGGGCTCTCTAATTTCTGCAACCCACTTTCCCCACTTCCTCATCCTTATTCCCTTGTAAGGCCTTTCGTTTTTTCTCTTAGCGCCACAACACCCCCCTGAACTTGCAACTCCTCGACTTTGACCCCCACCACCCACCTCCATCTTCCTCTTTCCCTCTATATCTTCCTTCTCTTTCTCTTTGATTGTATAATTATGGGAAAATACAGGGACTTAATTACAAATTTTTTGTTTCCCTATAATCTAGAGCTTGACTAGGAGGAATAACAGAGAGAGAAAGAATACCCATGAAAAAGGCAAAAGCTGGAAGTGAAGAAAGGTTTGTGGCTACTCTACGTTGATTTTCTTAAAAGGAATTTTTTTTTCATTCTCCTAAAATAAATAAAAATGAAAAAGCAAATATCTTAAAAGCACCGACACAATCAATCTTCTTCTTCTTCTTCTCTCTCCACAATAATAATAAATACAAGTAGTAACTTGCTGGATGATATAAAAACAAGTTTTTTTTTTATTGGCCCCTTTCTTTATTCAAAAGCTTAGCTGTTCATACCTCATAAAAAATGGTGGTTGTTGGCCATCCTCCATGTTAATAGCTCCTCAAAAATCTCAGACCCTCCATCTGTAGCTATAAATTTAACTGTAAATAGCACTTTTTGAATCAAAATTGTAACTTTGTTTGTTTTTGTGATGGGGGTGTTAGGGTGGGGGTGGGGGTGGCGTAGTATGTGAGCTAAGGGAAATTTAGGGAGAACTCAATAATGGAAAAGCAGTTGTCATTTCGCTCAGTGGTGACGACAGAGAAATGGATATATTTTTTCTAAGCATATAAAATAGGAAGAAGGAAAGATGATTACAATAATTCAATGAGATTGTTAATATTATTTTATTATATGGTTGGAATTAATAGTTTTGTTGTTTATTTATACTCCAATAGGAATTTATGTGTTTGGGTAATTTAGGGAATTTAAAAACAGTGGTGGGAGAGTTAGGTCGGTGGTCGGTGGATGGAATAGATAATGTTGTGACTTGGACTTCCAAAAATGCCCCCGCCAAGCAATAACGACATATATGAAATGACTATATTGCCCTTATCCACATTATTTGGCGCCTAATTGGTGTGGTCGGAGATTCCTATGCTTCATAGCTTAATTATGGGTGTACTACCACTCTGTCTCCCATTTGGTTCGGGAAAAAAGAATTGGTACTTATTGTACTTTGTCTTCAAATTTCTACCCATATGGTCTAAACTTTGCCCCATGTACACCTGGGATAGTTTGATTGATCCTACTAGTATAATTAATCACAACATAAATTATCACATAAAATAATATAATATCTGATTAATTGTGTAAAAAAATAGTAGTAGTCTTCATATAACTAATGCATGCAGGCTTTAGTTGATCGTATGGTGAAAAATAATAGGCAAAGTGCCTTCCGGGCCACTTAAACTTGTACCCATTTTTCAACTCGGTAAAGAAACTTACGCGTTTCCCATTTGAATACTTCAACTCATTCATTTGCCCAATTTTAAACCCCTTAGACCGTTGACCATGGTTATGTGGCAGCAATGTAACTGACGTGGCAAAAATATGTGCTAATCACGCTTGTGAAGCGCGTGTATACAATGAATATGAGAGAGAAAAATACTAAAATTACAAATAATAACTAAAATGAAATAAAAGCAAAAGATAAAATTAAAAACAAAATAAGGAAAAAGGAATAGAACCCCCCTTTCTCCGTCGTCGTCTCTATCTCATTCCTTCATCTTCTCCAAAAAATTTCTCTTACTCAAACACCACATTCATAATCATCATTATCGCAGCTTTCATCACTGATAACCCAAATACCATTTTTCACCATTAGCATCGAGAGCACACTTCTGCTATAAGATGCAAACAAATTGCTCGGGGAGACGGGGGGAATTAGGACACTGACGAATGCGAAATTGAGAAAAAAAGTGTAGGGGTTGGTCGGAGTAGCCATGCTGGGGATCCTTTTTTTTTATGGGTAGAGAAGGTTTGAATTTGCCCAATCCTACAAATCACTCCGGCGAGCTTTTGGTGCTGGTAAAACTTCGAACAATGGCTAATCCAATTTCAAGGGATTCGGGATATGTCTTAGAAGGGAATATAACAAAAAATTAATTTTTTGCTGAATGAGAAGGAACCAGAGGGCTAACAACATTTTATAAAAATTTCCGGCGAAATACTAATCGAAATTGTGATATCGGCGATAGTAAGACTGAAGAAGAATGGTGGGAATTGATGGAAATACTCATGCAAGGCCTTCAATCACTCCTATTAATGAATTTCCACTAATTTTTGTAATTGATCTTGGGGGGTTTAGAGTTGAGGAAGGATGTGTTCATGGTGGAAGGTGTTGGTTGCCACCCAAGGAAGAAGAAACAAAAAAAATTCCAGAAATTTTAATAAAATGGTTAAATAAAGATTGGGATCCACAAATTATACGAGTCAAACGATAATAGGCAAAGAAAGTGACGTGTCAATTATGTCTAAGCGATTGAGGCACACGCTCAATTTATATGCTTAATTTTTATAGTTTTATCAGGTTGAGTTGTTCAAATGGGAAACACGTAAGTTCCTTTATCGGGTTGAAAAATGAGTACAAGTTTAAGTGGCTTGGAGGCCATTTTGCCAAAATAATATGTATACAATTAATGCAGAATTTGGTCAGCGGTATCAATTTTGCATTAAGTAATAGGGAAAATTTCACATAAGAACAACTGGCTCTCTACTTTTTAATTTTATAGCTTATATTTCAATTTTATAACCAACTAGCCCAAAAATAATAGGCTAAGATTCAACATCCAACTCTAATAGGTTCTTGAAATTACTATTTAATTTTAAAAAAAATTGCTCAAACTTTTAAGTTAATTTTCGAATCAGTAACCGTGACTCAAATATTAGTTCAACAAACCAAATCTAATTTTAACAAGCTTAAATATGTGGGTTTAAATTCTGAATTAATTTTGTGAGAGATTTGGAATAGGTGTTATTTAGACTTGTTAGAAATAGTATAAGGAGGTTATATATAAAATTTGAAGTTATTTAATGGAGATTTGGACTGGTTTTGAACAAGAATTGCAACTGAAAATCGTGGAAGAAGTTCGTCTACAGACCTTGTATAAAGGTGTATAAACGTGTATAATAGTGTATAAGATGTGTTATACACTCATATACACTATTATACAAGATTATACATAATTATATAAAAAGCTGACTTCGTCTTCTTCTTTGCGTTTTTTCTGAAATTTAACTCAAATCTATTCCAAATCACTTCAAATTTAAATTTTGAACTCCTTTTGATATTTTCAATCAATTGGAACAACACCAAATCCAAACAACTAACAAACTAAAAAAATCTTTTTTCAAAAGCAAAGCTTTGAATGGCCTTCAATGGTGGACTTCTACTCTTCAATTGTCTTACATTGCAACCAAGTGACACTGGGGAAGAAGCAGAAAATACACGGCCCCTTGAAGCATATGTAGAAGATGTGAGAAGAAGAGAGAGTGAAAGCAATGGTTGTGAGAACACTGATTTAATTCCATAACTTTTAGAAGCAATGGTTGTAAGAACACAGGTTTTGATTGCTAGTGCTTTCAAAATATGTACAATATGGGCTAGGTCGGATAAAAATTAAAAATATGGGTCATATGGTGTGAAGTCACGTGTATTTTCTTGTAATTCTTTCTTCTAAAAACTGTGCATACTTTATGCAAAATCAAATGTGAAATCAGAATACTAGTAAAACAACTGTAAATCGTTTAAAGAGAAAAATACTCTTGAAGTAAATTATTCTATGTAGTTACCCCCTCATTATTAATTGCATCATAACAATCCTTTTATTATAATTACCCCATAATAATCTCTTATTATTATAATTCATTATATATACAATTTTGATACTATAATTTTCGCATAATTAACTAGCATATGACCATATATATATGCCTTCAGGTGGTCGTTTGTTCAATATACGTAGCCGCGTTGCCCGCGTTTGCATCATATGGTATGTAAGTCAAGGTTTGAAACTGGGATGTCTATTTCGTTTGACGCCTTCTGTAGCCCCCTTTCTAACCTATCACTTTTAACAGCATCATATTTTTTTATTAATAGAGGCAAAGAACAAACCACGTATACTATCGTCTCCTTTTGTTTTTTATTCGAATATAAAATAAAGAAAACAAAGAAGAGGGGAGATACTCATTTTTCATGTATAAATGTGCAGGCATCTTCAAGAATACTCTGACTATGAATAGCCTTTTTGTAGCTGGCTGGCCTTCGAGTTAAAATATGCACGTATACATTTATACATATACACACTAAATTTACGTCTCAAAAAAAATATAATGATACAGTAGTACTTACAGACACAGTCACTAAAGTCTCGAATCCACTTTTAATCTAGTGGGAACGGAGTCCACGGTAGGTACTACGTTGTTGTGTCTATCCCTAATCCCCTTGGGATAATTTAAACTCCTTTCACTCTGCTCTACTGTTTTTGTTTTGAAGTGAATGTCTCATTCACTAGCTCCAGCACAAACCGCACCTTCCCCTACCAATTACAAAATTGTTTTTTCTTTTTATAGTGAATAACTCAGCATTCAACTAAGTATGGTGCCTCTTGAAAACATAGGTGCCAGTAGATAATATTAGATTAATTCTAAAAAAATTTATATATAAAATATTTAATTTAACGGAAAGACCATGGATTCACGTGCCCTATATACTGAATATAAATCCGTCTGTGCCCACAAGGGTTAAAACAAAAAAAAATTCGACTTTGATGAATCTTCAAATTCGATATCTACCCTGATAGACTCGATTGCAAAAAGTTGCAGATGTGATTCTCATTAACTACACTAGTATTAATACCCACGCGATGCGCGGACATAAACCATGTCGGATTGTGATTTGGATTATTTGAATTATTTGTAAATAACTTTAAAATATAAACCTTCCAGATAAATTTTATAGATAATCATTAGTTATTAATTAAGAAGCAAGACATGAAACCATTTCGTAAATCTCATAGTGGATAACCTATTTTCTTTTTCTATATTTATATAATCCAACCGGTTAATTTTAGTACTTGAATTTCGCTTCGCAATCAGTAGTAAAAATAATCACTAACTATGTCATGTGGTGATTTGTCTCGTATAAACATATTAGATCATATTATTTTAATAAAATTCTTAGTATTATTTTTTTTTATCTCAAGCTTAAATAGGTCTTATTCTTGTAATTTTACACAATTTTTTTGTTCTTTGCCTATAATTATTATATTATTTATTATTTAATATTATTATACTTTCATGTAGGAGTGGCAAACGGGCGTGTCGGGTCGGATATGGTTCGGGTCGAAAACGGATAATGAAAAAATTGATAAATTATCAGATCCGACCTATATTTAATACGGATAAAAAACGGCTGAACCGGCGGATAATATGAGTAACCATATTATCTATGAATTCTTGCATATGATCACTTTTGGGAATTCTTAGTCTCCCTAACTTGAGGAACCCCCAATTTGAGGCTTTACAATGTAAAAGCTAGACCCATTGGTTATCCATTTTCTAAATGGATATTATGGTTCTTACCATATTTGACCCATTTTTAAAAAGTTCATTATCCAACCCATTTTTTAGTGGATAATATGGGTGGTTAACTGCTTTCTTATAACCATTTTGTCACCCCTACTTTCATGTGATTTTTTCGGCTTACTAATTGACTTAATATCTTTCTTATTATTCTTTTAATAATTATCGATAAATATTATTTTTTTATTCTTAAAATTTAATATATGTTACGCTTTATCCTCTTACTCGAAACTATTTTACTATTTAAATCTATCAACAATA